GTATTTTCGAAGTAGGAACAGAAGGACCTTGTGTTGGATGAGATATGAGAGGTGAGGAATGGTTAATTTGGAAGACTTCACAATATCTGTCTTAGGTTTAAATACTGATAAATATGCAGGGAATATTCTTATTCGAATCACATGATGATGATTACAGAGGAAGACCTCGGGTATCCACGAATGTCCCAGTTCTTGCAGGAGGGATGTCTGAGGATGGTGTCTGGCCGTCCTCTGCCCACAGCCCCACAGGGGGATTTAGCAAAAGCTACTCTGCGGGCCTTGTTCCATCCCTCTGCATCTGCACCCTGTTAGTACCCTGTTGTGTGATTCTGGCTCACAGGGGTTTGGGAACTATTTTGCCTGTCTCAGTGACACAGCGCCCAGTGTCAGGAATGTGGTATAAAACTCAGCCATGTTATTTCCACTCTCATGCTTTTCCTGCTACATGAGGCTGCTTCACAAAAGTTAGCAAATACATAAACAATTAAATACTATGTCCACGTCCATGGGCTCTTTCCTATCTGGCTCAGGCAGGCTGATGGCCCTGGGCAGCTTTGTGCTCATGCCGTCGACGGACAACTGATTGATCCCGTCAGAACAGCAAAATAACACACATTACGCCTGCTTCTCTAGATATCCTACTTAATGCATGACTATCTGTTAGATGACAGCCATGCATTAATCTAAACTTCAACACTGGAATAAAGAGGATGCTCTTTGCCATCTGTCTTTCATACGTGAACAAACCAAAGTTTAAAGATGCTGGATGTCTTTTCTGAGGTCACACAATTGGAAAGTGGCTTTAACAGGTTAGGAATTTGGAGCTACTGGATTCTAAAACCCAGCTTTTTTTGTGGTTGTTACCTTTGTTTTTATTTTTTATTGTTTTTTTTTTAGTGTATTAAGTTTTAACTTTAATTCCATTGTAGTTATAATACAGTGTTATATCAGTTTCAAGTGTACAATATAGTTATTCAATAATTCTACACATTACTCAGTGCTCATCAGGACAGCTGCCCTCCTATTCCCCATCACCTAGTTCACCCATCCCCCCACCACCGCCCTTCGGGTAACCATCAGTTTGTTCTCTGTAGTTAAGAGTCTTTTTCTTGGTTTGCCTCTCTCTCTTTTTTTCCTTTGTTCATTTGTTTTGTTTCTTAAATTCCACATATGAGTAAAACCCGGCTTTTTCTTCCACAATGAGAAATCCTTATGGGCGGGTGAGCTTGTTCTACCTGGTACCAAGGAAAAGATCTTTTAACTTGATTCTATATAAGAATGAGGAAAAAATTAGCTGAGTAGATTGAGCAAGCAGATTAATAAAGTATGCTTTAACATAGCAAGTTAATTATTTAAGGTCGGAGTAATCTGCAAGGATGTAGGCGGGTTTGGTAATAATACAATTTTCCTCCCTGGTATTGGTAGTTAACTTCATCCAGGTGAGATGAGGTTTCCTGATTACACTCCAGCTTTTTCCTTCCCATGCTGTTTTCTCACCTTGATGCCATGTCTCCAACCCTAAGACTGAAATCTGTTTAGGTCGTAAGCTCTCTGAAGACGAGGCTGTGTCTCATTCCTTTTTGGATTCCCAGAGCCCAAAAGAGTGCTGGCCCAGTGAATGGCAAATCCTTCGGCTCTGGTTTTCCTAGAATCAACTTCCATATGCTTTCTTCTGGAGGTCTCTGATGCCTGCTTTCTGCGGCTCAGATCTTCAGCCACACGTAACTGGGCAAATGGGTGGCTAGAACTGCTGAAGTTTTAATATCTGCCTCTGATGCTATTGCATAGAAAACTTGAAAAGGAAACAGGAAGAGTGTGGCTACAGGACTTAAAACCTGCGTGTTCTTATAATACTCCCGAATTGTGCAGATGTCCAATTTTCTTTGCTGAGCTTTATGTCTCTAGATAGAAATATTCCTCTAGCCCCTGTGCTGAGCTGGCTGACCTGTTAGTGGCACTGACATACAAGCTCATGTCAATAACATTGGAGAACCACACCAGCACTTACTCGTGACTCACAAACTCTTAGTTTATGCAAAGCTCTAACAGCTGTGGTATGTCTGGTTTCTACCTCTCAGCATACTGAATGCATCACCTTGTGAATGTGTTGATAGGGGTATGGGCGTCAGAGAGAAGTAATAATTCTTGGTTTGCCTGGTAGCAAAGGAAGGAATGGATACACTGTTGAAAACAGAACTAGGGCTTAAACATCTGGGAACCATTTAGTGCATGTTGAGAAGCCAAGATAGCTTCTGAGACACCTCTCTAAAAGCTCAGCAGTGTAGCTCAATAATTGATATCAATAATGATGACCCGGAGCCCCAAAATTTTTCACTATTATTCAGTTGACTGATTTGCAATATGTTTAACATGACACAAAGTATGCACTATGTTTGAGAAATGTTTTTGCACTATGTTTGAGAAATGTTTTTGGAAAACTATTAGCACTATCTAAAGTGCTAATAATTTTCCAAGGGAAATAAAATAACCTATAAAATTTTGGCTTTTTGCACAGTTGTATGTTACCAGACAGTTGTGAGTAGTAAAGGTATGTGTGTGTATGTGTGCGTGTATGTGTGTGTATGTGTGTGTGTGAGACAGAGTTCCTGTGTGTGCTGATTATTAATATCAGCATTTTGTATCTCAACGTTTGCTTATTTTAACAGAAGCACATTCTTCAATCCCCGTTTCAGGATGTGAACGAACCATTTATTCTATATGATACAAAAGGCTCTGATGATGTAAGGCAGGAAATGGCACATGGTGGCATGTTAGGGAGCAGTTAAGATGATTTCTTATCACCATGGAGACAAGACATCTGGTGCTCTAAAGACTCTGTGTGTCCTTGTTGCCCCTGAAAATTCCATGCATCTTGGGAGTTCAGACTGTAACCCAGACCCTCGGTCTTCAGGGCTCTCAGTCAAAGTATTCCGTTCTTCATCTTTATTTTGTTTTAAAATGTTGATTGATTTTGAAATGGGTTTCAATGGGAAAAATGAGGGGCTAGACCAAATGGTTTCAATGAGGTACAGTAATTGGGACAATTCCTTCTTCCTATGAACATCTCCGGAATGTTTAAAACAAAGTTCAAGTTCTGAAACAGCATGTCTTAAGGGTCTTATTTGGCATGCTAAGTGAGTAAAAAAAAAAAAAAAAAGTGAGATATTACAGGAGCAAGTAAGTGATTAAATTAAATGTGCCTGGAGAATAGAGCCCCCTCAGGAATCTGCAGAGTAATAAATGTGTGCAGCTGCTTGAGCATCTCCTAGCACTTCTAAGCAATGGTACACAGAGTGCTCACCACTGCTGATGGCCTGTCAGTTCTAACGAAAATACTCCGTGTTAGAAAGGTGAGAGGAATTACATACATTATCTTTTTGTTTCTCTTTACTGTCTACCTCTTAGTACTTTAAAAAAGCTCGTTATTAAAACATTATGTAAGTATGCAAAATATATTGAAAGAAAGAATGTTTCAATTATACACAGTATGGATTGGTAAGAAATGCTGTGTGTGATGACATATGACAAATGGTAAAAGGTATTTTTAGCTGCTCTCTCTTTGGGGGAGGATAAAGCAAAAATATCTAGAATATACAGCATTTGCTTTTCTAGCTATTTTAATATTTAGCACATTTGTAATATATTTTAAAATAAGTAACTAAAATAGTTTAAAAAGTGAATTTTTTACTTAAAGATTTTTGTACTTTTTTTGGTTAATTTGCATTATTTTAAAAAGCTTATTCTAGATTGGCATCTGTTTTTTTTTATTTTTTTTCTTATCCCTGCCCTTTTGAATTGCTCTTACTTGCATTAGAAATCATAAGCCATTTTTATTTTATGTGAACAACTGGTCTATGAGCAAAGTGTAGTCTTTATAAAAAAATAACCAAGGGCTGTAGGAATTGTGTTCATAACTTAAATATTTGAGACCTAAAATTATCGAAGTCAAGATGCCTGGAAATTCTGATTCAAATAAACGAAAGGAAGTTTCAAATGAACTTAAGAGCAACAAACAATACAAGAAGGTAAATTATTGGTATTTTAGTCCTTTCTGAAAGACACAGAATCACATTATCCCCCACTAGAATTGTATCAGGCAGAGAAATCTTCTGTAAGAGAGTCTAACAATGTTACGAGAGTGTTGTCCTGAGTCACTCACCACGTGGGTGTCACAGTTCACTTCGGGGTTCACACCTTTGCCTTCATTTGGTTTATCATCAAATTATAACTGAACAGTAAAAATTGTCTTCAGATATTTACTTTTTCAAAGGAAAAATTACCTTTATTCTTCTTAGAGCAGCCCTGGCATTTGATCTCTGAATGTGGACAGTTCTATACAGGTAGACCAGTAAAGGTATGCATCTCAGGAGGGAAAGTGATGATTGATGACTGTTGGAGTACTGACTAAGAAACTGCAGAGTCCTCCAGAACACCGACGGCAGGGGGAATTGATCTTAGTCTTAGAATTGAGCATTAAGTGTTGGTTGTTATTATGAGGAGGTAAGATAGTCCTTCCTGGGAAATTTGTGGATATTTTATTGTTTTCCAGCCTAACATTTGTGATTTTCATGGAAACACTTCAAACTGAGGCAAAAGTTCATGCTCATGTGAGGTAGAAATTCACCAAAGAAAGTTAATATTCCCTTGATTTGTCAGATTCTAAGAGAGAAGTTGTCATCAAAGAAAATCTGCTAAATTAGCTGCACATCAATTATATGCCAATTCTGCTCTAAAGAAAAATACATGACCTTAAAACTTAATTCATGAGATTAGACTTTCTAAGTATATAGTTATTGTGTAGCATACTTACTCAAAACTCCTAATTTAAGGTAACTGAAAAATTAAAATAGCTTGGACCCTTAAAGTAACTGACACACTCCTAGCATTAGCCTTTGCTTAGGCTTCCTTCAGGTGGGAAAAATATATTCAGTGTCTTTGTTTATGTGATTTGAGTTGCTTTTGTCCTATTTTAATTGGGCAATCATTTTCTTCTATTGCAGGATCTAGATTTCTCATCACATCCACGGGAGCCTTGTATATTAAAGATGTACAGAATGAAGATGGATTGTATAATTACCGCTGTATCACGCGGCACAGATACACTGGGGAGACCAGGCAGAGTAACAGCGCTAGACTTTTTGTATCAGGTAAAAACCCATCGAGACTTGTGGTTACCATTTCTGTTACTCCTTCGTTAGTGTCCTGAGCGAAGTCAACCAAACTTGTAGAATTCATGACTCAAATAAAGACTTCTTTTCTTTCCCCCAAAGTATATTAGCAACTAAAGGGTTTTTTTTTTAAACCAACCCTAATACTATACACTACACATATAGGTATTCCGAGGGAAGTCATTTCAGGTTTTGTAAAATTCCACATTCCTATGACCCAAGATGGCTTCTGTTTTGAGGAGAATGCCTCCTTGCCCTGTGTATTTGTGTCCTGTCCACCAGCACTATGAGGCTCTCCGTGACACATAGCTCTGAGGGAGGAGAGCAGGGGCACAGGGAACACACCTCTTGTTCCCCATATTATGTCTAACAATATTGGGGAAAGAACCCATATCTAAAAAGATAGTCACTCCCTCCCACCTCCGTCCAGGATGATTCTCAAGCGAACAAAACCTGAAGGCTGCTAATTCCACTCTGCTGGAAATACACCAGTTTTGTGCCTTCCTTTATAGCATTTATACTTTGAGAAAATATCCACCTTTTGCATAATCTTCACCACTGGCTTGTTACTGGCCCATCTGTCAAACAAGTAAGCGATCCGCTCACACGGCGATGTGCTAGCTCTTCGTGGAGCCAATTAGAATGTGAGATGTCTATCTTGGTCCTAGAAATCTGGTGCAAAATATCTGACCTTTGCCCTTGCATCTTTAGAAGGTAAAACTGCTTCATGACCTGAATATTTTCATCTTATTTGTAGTGATGCTTTGTGAAGAAGAAGGGATAGAAAGCTGTTGACCGTTGGTGTAATTTAAAACATTGCTGCCCGAACACCTACTTACTGTGCTTTTGCTGGGTTCCTCGTCCACATTCACATTCTTAAAATAGCCAGAGTCCACCTGTGTTTCCAGGGGCTTTGCAAACACAAGTCAGAATCGAGTGATTTCTTCTCTGTACACAAAAATACTTTTTACTTACCTCTTCTTTTTCATGCCAAGTGTTACTTTATCTCTTGCTTTATAGCTCTGCGTTGTTGCTTCTGTTAAGGGCAGGAACAATCAGTATAGTAAAATTATACTCCAATAAAAAAAAAAAAGACTAGAGAAAAACAAATGAGAAAGTGAATGACATCTGTGATCTTTGTCTATGGTGGCTTTAATGACAGCACAGTGTTCTACTTGCTCAGAATATCCTAGAAAAGGTCTTGTGTGCAATCAAGAGGAATGTCATAACAATATTGGGACAAGAAAGGGGAAGGATTGAGGGGTGGATCTGGGTACAAGATTAAATTGAATTTTAGCAAAAGAAGCAAAAAGCGTTTCTCCATCCCCAAAAATTAATTAAGTGATGGTATTCTGAAAGCTCATCTTCTTTTTCTAAGATTTTATTTATTTATTTGTCAGAGAGAAAGAGAAGAGAGAGAGTTCACAAGCAGGGGGAGCAGCAGAGGGAGAGGGAGAAGCAGACTCCCTGCAGAGAAAGGAGCCTGATGTGGGACTCGATCCCAGGATCCTGGGATCATAATCTGAGCTGAAGGCACATGCTTAACTGACTGAGCCACCCAGGCATCCCTGAGAGCCAGTCTTTCTTGAAAAAGAAACCTGAATAGGAAATCTGAAAAGAAGGAGAAAACTGGGGAAAAAAGAGAGATAGAGAGAGAGAGAGAACCTGAAATGTGGACTTGTTTCTCTCTATTCTAAATTATTAAGTACTGATTTTCAAATTTAACTCTTAGGGTTGGAGAGGCAAATTTACTTTTCTTAATTCCAAGTTTTTTTGTTGTTATTATTTTTTTTAATAGAATGTCTTACTAATGTTTTAAACATTGACAGCAGGACCCATGAGCACTTAGTCACTGTGGAAGTGAGTGGGGTCCATGAGGTCACCCAGTGGGCATTTGTGATGGGAAGTGAGGAGACTCAGGGCACAATCTCACACTAAGATACTGAGCATTTGGGGTTAGAGGTATATCTGTGGGGTCAACAGAGTCAAGTGTCATGGAAAGACTCTTGAGAGAGTCTCTGTATGTAGCACATAACTGTGAAGACTTTCTGTCACAGAAATGTTAATAACGTAGTTGAGGGAGGAAACTGTTACTGCTAGAAAATTAGAACATCAACACTGAGTGCAGATGACTATTCTAGAAATCTAAGCTTTGAAAGAAAAAGAAAAATTAATTTTACTTTAGATTTAAATGCATTTAAAAATGCACACATGGGGTTTGGGTCCTGTGGGTGCATGCTAGTGACAAGGTTTTTAATGCTCTTAAACTCCTCTTGAAACAAAAACAGACCAAATATGATGGCGAAAGAAAAATCACAGGGACAAGGCCTTCCAGGAACACTCAGTGGCACTGGATCGTGGGTTGGTGTGGATGGAGTGTTGACAGCAGTGGGGGCATGCAGGAATGGCCGCCATGTCATGGAAGGAGTGGGCGCCAACGGGGGTGCAATCTGCTGGGATTCCACATGGTCACACAACTGCAAAATAGTCAACAGATACTCCTCTCCAAAGCAGAGGATCAGCCCTTGAGTGGACCCTGGGGAAGTGTGTCTAGGAGTATTCACCACCCTCGATAGACCTACCTGAGTTTGGAGTGCAAGATGGGTGCAAACTGCCATGAGAGCAGTCAGTGATGACCACATCTCTCAGTGGTGGCCCGGCTCCTTGGAGATCTCACAAGTGTCCAGCAAATAAGTACTCCTTTCAGAAGAACAAGGACTCACCCCAATAAAACCACTGGCATTTGGAGTCAAGTGTGGCTTGACTCAAGAGTGGCTCAGAGTGACTCAGCATTACTAAGGGTGACAAAGGAGGCTCAGGTGGCATGGGAGGCCTTGAAGGAATCCCATCCTATAAAACACTATAATGTAGAATGGAGCAAGGGGCAGGGTTACTTATGTTTATGTTACTTTTATTTGGAACCAAGATTTTCAGTGTAAAAGATAAAAATATAAAATCCTTGAAATGTCCAATAGAAGCTATCAGTACACACTTGCTATATTTTTATGAATGTGTCCCCAAGGTCCTTACATTGAAAAGGCCTGGAAATGATGGGCAACAGACAGCAACAAGCACCTCTAATATCTAGATCCCAGTGTCCTTTAAGTACTCCACCTAAAAGGGACCACGATTCCTTGGAAGAATGGTGGATTATAGTGTCTGGGACAGGAAATGTATAAATGGGCCTGAAACATTAATGGGATCTTGTCAAAATGATACAGGGGACAACTTCTGAAGGTACTCTTACTGGCTGAGAGTATGATGAGTTGAATTTCAAAAATAATGATTGCATTTGATTGATAACCATTTAACATGTTAAGAACTTTTGAGTTTGTTATGAATACACACACAAACATATATATATATACTTATGTTCTTACATTGGTATATACTTTGATACATGCACACATGTCTACTTAATAACAACCAAAGCAATAGTAAGAATCTCATTGGTCTACATAGAAGAAACTAGGGCACCAACTCTTGATTTTGATACTTGGCAGATTAAAGAGAACCACGATTCTCTTTATCTTTCCTATGACTGTTATATTTCAAAATAACCAAATAATCCTAGTTTAGGAAGGAAAGTTCTTATTTACAGAATAATTACATCTACTGAATGGGAAGGAGCTATGACAATTAGAAAATCATTTCAACCTTTAATGAAATAACTAATTCAGACAGACTTTATCACCTGAACTTGCTGATCAATTCAGTGTCACTGAGTGCAGGAAAGCTTCGTGTTGTATGCGTGTAGAGAGAAAGGAGAGAGGTTGAAATTGATTAATCAGCTCATGAGAACTAAGTTCCAGTTTATGAGAAACATGGCCAGAGGAACACGTTCAATGACATCATCAAGAAAGAAATTCAGACCATGGGGTTTCCTACAAAACAATTCACCTGGCTTCTTCAGCAAGTCGGAGACATGAGAGAGAAAAAAAGGAAGAGCCTGTTTTGGATTAAAAGAGAATTGAGAGACATAACTGTCAACTGTAGAACAAGGCTGCTTAATTAGCACAATTGCAAATAATAATAATAGTAATAATGATGTGTTTTTAGCTCATTAGGGAAAAGTGAATATGGAATGGATACTAGATGGTACCAAGAGGTTATTATGACTCTTGTAGGTTACTGACATTGAGGTTTTATAAGAAAACTTTTATTTTTTTAAAATAATTTTTTATTGTTATGTTAATAACCATACATTACATCATTAGTTTTTTTTAATAATTTTTTATTGTTATGTTAACCACCATACATTACATCATTAGTTTTTTTTAAATAATTTTTTTATTGTTTTGTTAACCACCA